ACAAAGGGAGCAGAGGGACAAGCAAAGGAAGAAGGGGTAGGAAGCCTGGAGTGTTTGGTGACCCAACCTCAGAGCTCACCAAATGTTGTCCCAGAGTTCGTTTAGAGCTTAATCTCAGCCCCACACCCCTTCCTGGATGTTGGAGGTGCGGCTGAAGGTTCCAATCTTCTAATCCTCTATCACTTGGTCTTTCTGGTGACTGGAGCAATCTTGAGGCCATCCAGGGCCTGCCAAGTCACCACAGGAGATAAACCCAGAATTACTCTATAGCGGGGTTCATTATGAATAACCAGAGATTCTTCTACCACTTAGGAAATCCTTAGGTTTTATGACCTCTGTGGCAGAAACTGGGAACAAAGAACTGAAAATTTATTTTTTATCATGCTACAGTCACCCTGTGCTCAGAAACTCCATGACTGCCTGGATTACAAGTGCCCAAACTTCCCAGGAGGGCCTGCAGCTCACATAGCCTCATTGCCTGCTCCTGCAGCCTCTGTGGCCCAGTGTTCATCCCAGGCTCCTGCCTCTGCTCCTCTGCCCCACCCTCCAGCCCCAACACTGAATCAAAACATGTCTTAGGCATCTAGAAAGGCCAAGAGCCTCAGAAATGGGCTGATCCAAGCCTCTTATCTTATCAGTGAGGCGCTGGTGAATCTGAGATCAGAAAGGCAGAGCCACAGATTGTAGGTTTATCTCATAAAGGCAGACGGGACAATCATGATCTCTGAATTATTGGTGAGGAGAACAGGAGATGAGCTGCAGATTAGGAGACTATTTTGTAAAACTTTCAAACGCACAAACCACAAAGCAAAAAAGAAAAAAATACACCAAACAAATAAGGAATTTTTGTTCAATAAAAGACACCACAGACAAAGTTAATACATGTAACATTGTCGGGAGATATCAGCAATGTCTACAATTGATCACAAATCAATACCTAGATCTCTGGAAAGGTAAGAAATATAGAACAAATTCAATTTAAAAATGGAGTAAAAGATTTGAGTGTGCAATAAGATAGAGAGCAAAATTCTAAAAGTTAACAAACATATCAGAAAGTACCTAAACCCACTAGTTATTAGAAAAGTACCACATGAAACAGCAATGTGGTGCTGCTTTACAACTATAGGTGAAGATGCAGGGACCTTCATGTCTTCTGAGGTGCAAGTGGGTGCGGGAGAGTAGAGGGTGCCAGGCATTTGGGAGAAGTCTGGCTGTTCTTGGTCACAGTAGGAGCAGGCGCCCCATGACCAGCAACTCTGGAGGCTCAGAGAGCATGACCAGGCTGAGTGCAGCTGGCACACCCACTGGTCTTTCTCATTCTCCAGAGGAACACCAGTCCCTCCTCCAACACAGCTGCACCAGCTAAAATCTGGCCACATTTTTTCCAGTTTTCTGCTTTCAGTGGTTCTGGGGACCCAGGCTCACTGGGGGGCCTTTGCAGCAAGTGGAACCATGCAGGAAGCCTGGCCGGCTGAATGTTCTCTGGGCTCCTGCTCTGTGGGGAACTCCTGAGTGTAAGCTAGACTGGGGCTCTACTCTGTCCCCCCTACCCTTGAGATCTTGGATGAGCTCCCCTGAACCAGCTCAGGTTTCCAGAGAACTGCCGATGCCCTTCCACAGCTGTTCCTCTCCCCCTATCCCCCAACTCTCCAACTTCCTGGTACTCAGACCTGGATGGTGGTTGTGTGGGGAACCTTTATGTAAGAAAAGCAGTACATTTCTGGAGGGTTAGTGTAATATAAGCAAAATGACAGTGAAAAATCTCTGTAAAACAGAAATAGGAACAAGGCTTATCATATGCGTTGCAAGAACCAGGACTTATGCAGGTCAAGTCAGGGACACGGCCTCCAGTGTGTGGTTCTATCCCCTGCACCCTACATCGCGCCAACATTATATGAGTGACTCATTTTTCCTTAGGCCCTAATCCAATTACTTTGAGGAAAATTTGAAAGAAATTTGAAAATAATTCCATTGAACAAAAAGTATTCTAAACATTTACAAGGAGATAGGCTGCAAGTTGCAGCAGGGAGCTCCAGCCCCACCCAGATGTCCTTATACACACGCCAGATGTGCAGTTTGACACCAGAGCTGAGCCACAAGCTCAGCCACACCTAAAGAGACAAATATTATTATTAGGCAAAACCAGGAATTCTCCATTTATTTTTGACCAAAAGTAATTTATATAACTGTGGAGAAAAGGGTGTTCCAAAAAGAAAAGCAAATGAAGCTGTGGTTTATATGTGAAGTAGAACAATCTCATGTAAGCTTTATTTTACCCTTCTGGGAGGAAGTGGAGATACAGGCTAGTACTATTCACCATTCTATAAATATTTATTTTGTAACTACTGTGTACCAAGCATCAGGCAAGTCTAGCTAAGATGCTGAGAGACCACAGAAACTGAGATCCACAATTTTTCTGCATGTCCAGATGGTGGCAAACCCTTCAGGAGGACACATGGGGCTTAGCAACCTGCTGGCCGCTGCTCTCAGCATCCCTGATAATCTCAGTCAGGGCAGAAGGAGCTTTCTCCTTTTTCTTTGTTTCTCTAAAATGAGGTTTCCTCTCTCTCTCTCTCTCTCTCTCTCTCTCTCCCCCTCTTTGGAGACGGAGTCTCACTCTGTTGCCCTGGATGAGTTACATACTGTCATAGTTCATAGCAACCTCAAACTCTTGGTCTCAAGAGATCCTCCTACCTCAGCCTCCAGAGTAGCTGGGACTACATGCGGCCACCACAACATTTGGCTATTTTTTCTATTTTTAGTAGAGATAGGTCTCACTCTTGCTCAGGCTGGTCTCCAACTCCTGAGCTCAAGCGATCCATCCACCTCAGTTCATGGGTGAACCACCATACCTTGCCTAAAATGAACTTTCTTCTTGGGGGAAAAAATTAAGTAACTTTGCTCATTTATTGAAGGAAGCATCTTTTTCTGTTCTCTTTCCTTCAAATTTCCAGAAAAGAACAAATAGCACTGTGCTCCCCTGATCTCTAAGCTTCCCCACAGTGGATTTTGAGCCTTGTGTCCGGCCTGTCCACTCCCATCTGTCCCACACCTGGGGACTTGGCGAATTTCTCTTGTCCTTTCTCTGGAGATCTGTTTTTTCTTTTCCAAAGCTCTTAAATCTGACCCTAGTTTTCCTATAGCCTTACTGAATCCCTCTACTCAAGGTTCAAGGCTTTTCCACAAGGCTAAACTTGGGTAGTGGTTTGATGTGAAAAACCAAATCATATCCACAGTTCTATTTATTACCCCCCCCCCTTTTATTTTTTAAAATTCAGCCCAACAGGTCAGGCTCAGTGGCTCCTGCCTGTAATCCTAGCACTCTGGCAGGCCAAGGTGGGTAGGCTGCTTGAGATCAGAAGTTTGAGACCAGTGAAGGAACTAAGGAAATTTTACCTCAAAATATGACTCCTTGACATAAAGAATACTTTGAATTAAAGGCCATTCACAATCAGAAAGCTTTGGAAGGGGCTTTCCTTCTATCTGTACAAAACCAGACTGACTAGATCAGGGGATCAAAACTGGCCAACTGACTTCTGGTTCCTCCCTGGAGGCCAGCAGACCTGGCCCAAGTTATTTAAAACACAATGCATGTCTCCCAGGTTAATTTACAAGTCAATCTGTTTCCCCATCTATTCATCCTCCCTAGCCCTGGCTTGCGGCACCCAAACTCCAAATTCTCCCCTCTCCCTTCAAAAAGGCTTCTGTAAAGGTGTCTGATCATCCCCTGAGAAATCATTCCTGTGGATACCCCCATGCACTTAGCATTTGGAAATAAACCTTTCTCTTATTAATCTAACTTAACTGTGAGTTGATCTTTCAGTGAGTGAACTTTCAAGGGAAAAAGAGCGAGTTTCACCGTTATCCCTACACCAGCCAGGGCACTCTATCCAGGGTGACAGAGGAGACTCTGTCTCAAAACAAACAAACAAACAAACAAAAAAAAAACTCAGTCCAACCAACAAGGCATTTGTCTAACACCACACTGGGGGAAACTCCTGCAGTGTGTATGTTTTAAGAGCTCCTTATTAGACTCTCTGGCGGCCAAGCAGATGTTACTGAAATTCTTTGAAACCCCAGCGTTTCATCATTTTGGCCCTCTCTGAAGTTTCTTTAAAAACCTATGCTGAGTCTGGTAACAACACTGACAGAGGCCCTATGAGCAGCCAATGCTTTGAGGTAAATATGCTGGGGCCTAATGCAGCCACACTTTCCTCTTTTCCTCCTCTCCTCCTAACACAAAGACACAAAGGATCTGGCTAGCTCACCCGCAGAAAAGTTGGTGCCGGAACACCCTAACCTAACCGGCAAGCTGGAATTTCACCCACTCCCCACCACCCCTTATAAAAGTGGTCTCTAAGTGCTCTTGGGCGCAGACGCCATCTCTCCTTTCCATAAAGCTGACCTAAACTCTCCCTCTGTGGTTTCCATTCTGGGCCCAGTTGTTTACACCTTTCAAAACAGAATTATTATTCCCATTTTAGAGGATGGAACTGAGGTCCAGAGAAAGTAAGTTAGCACAAGGTCACACAGAACGTAACAGCTGGGAATCCACCCGAAGCTGTGAGCTCAAGTATGCCCCAAGTTCCAGGGTCAAACGTGGGAGAGGGTGGATGACCATTCACACCTTTCTGGGGAATGGCAACCCGGATAATTTACTCAGCTTCTTTGATCCTCGCTTTCTCTCTCAATGAAACTGAGATAAAGCGCTCTCTGACAGACGCTGGAGGGAGCCGGTTCAGTCCCTAGCACCTACCATGCTGCGCTCAGCGCGCCCTGGCTGAGCCCCTCGTCGGCAGGGCTGGGCCCGGCTCCTCTGAGTACCCTATCTCGGAGCGGGGGCCCAGTAACATTCGTTCAAGATGAGTCATCCAGCAGACCTCTACGTCTGCTTCCACCTGGCATGCTGACAGCCTGTGTGCTCCCTGGTCCCGGGACGGCCACCCGCCGCCCTCACCGCAGCTCTCAGTCTGGGACCCCACCCGGAGGGACCGTCTTACCATGGCGTCATAGCGCAACGCGTTCATGAAGTAGGCCACCTCGGCGCCGCGGTACACGGTGAACCAGATAGTGCCCTGGTACTGATCCCCGGCGTCCAGCAGCAGCACGTTGGGCTCTGCTCGGCGGATCTGCTGCACCTTGGTGAAGAGCCGGGCCACGCCGCCCACGCAGCGGCTAGCGTTGACGCACTTGCTGGCGTCCTCGCTGGTCTGTTCCAGCCGGCTATGCACATCGTTGGTGTGCAGCACCGTGAGCTGCCAGGCGCTGGCCGCAGGCGCCAGTAGCGAGTGCAGCGCCAGGAGCAGCAGGGCGGACTGGGGACACATGGCTGCGGCGCGGTGACGACTAGTGCGGGCGAGTCCGGGCAGCCGTGCTAGGGTAGGCGCCCGAGCTGGAGGGCGGGTCAGGCCGGAGCCCGGGCGGGGACGGGGGTGGGGACAGGGTGGGAGCCGGGGCGGGCCTCCTACAGCCTCCGGCGGACCCAGCCGCCAGGAGCACGCCCGCGACGTCACCGGGCCGACCCTGGCATCCGAGCGCCAGCTGCTCTCCGGCACAGTGGGGGGCTGTCCTGGGGAGCCGGGCCGGGCTTAAGTCCACTGCAGGTCCTCCCAGCGCACGGATCCTCGCGGTTCTCGCCTCTTTGGAGGTGCGGATTTCTCTACGGGCGGACGGGCTGCGTTGGGCTTGCGGTGCTGAAGCTCCGCACTCTTCAGAGCAGAAGGGAGAGCGGGGCGGGGACAGGGCGAGCCCGAGACCCGGGGAGAGAACTGCGGGAGGAGAGAGGACGCGGCAGCGCTTTGCAGTCCCGCGGAACCGGAGCGCAAGGAGGACGCGCAGTTCACGAGCCAAAAGTTCTTGTTGGACCCTTCCTTCACTCAGTACCAGATCTCGCCAACTGCTGGAAGCGGAGGGCCGGCAAGCTGCGGGGACGCGGTGCTGATCTGCGTTGCTTTTCTGGTCTTTTCTTTCTGCTCTATTCATCTAGTTTTTCTTTTGTTGTGGGTGCTTCTGGTGTTATGTTCAAGAAATCATAGCCAAATACAATATCACAAAACTTTCTAAGTTTTCTACTTTATAATTCAGCTGTTACACACTCATCTTTGACTAGTTCGTTATTTTCAAGGTAGTTTACCAATCTCTTTTTTAATATTTGGGGCCTTTTGTATTCTGTAATGATGATCTGGGATAGGCAAATCTTCTTTAATTGTTAATTGTTGCATATAATGTAAGAGTTCAAATGTGTTCTCGTGCATGTAAATATCCAGTCTTCTCAGTACCATCTTTTGAAAAGATGTCCTTTGCCAGCCCTATTTCGTTTCTTTAATGTTTTTTGTTTTCATTTCTGTTTTTTCAGAGTCTCACTCAGTCACCCTGTGTAAGAGTGCCAAGGCGTCATAGCTCACAGCAACCTCAAACTTGGGGTGAAGTGATCCTCCTGCTTCACCATCCCAAGTAGCTGGAACTACAGGCCCCACCACACCACTTGCTAGTTTTTCTATTTTTAGTAGAGAGGGATCTCACTCTTGCTGAGGCTGATCTCGAACTTCTGAGCTCAAGGGATCCATCCACCTCCGCCTGCCAGAGTGCAGGGAGTACAGCCATGAGCCACTGCCCAGCTGGCCCTGTTTTTAAGACAGGAGTTTGAGGCTCAGTGATAGTTTGTCAATTGTAGCATAGATAGAAACCATAAGACCTTTGCTTCTGAGAGGCCTCTGAAGTCAGGCTGTGCAAGGTTCTGCTGGTCTCTCTTTCAGCTAGCAGGTAGAAAAACTGGCAGGTTTTTTTTTTCTTTTTTTTTTTAAACTTAAAAATATCTTAGACCCAGAGGAGTTGTGACAGTAACCAGGGACTCCTACAACCTTCACCCACACGCCCTGTAGTGACAACTTACATAACCAGTGAAACTAAAAAGCTAACATTGTTATAAAATTATCAGCTATCAGGCAGCACCTGTGGCTCAGTGAGTAGGGTGCCAGCCCCATACACTGAAGTGAGTGTCAAAAGGCCACATTAGGAGGCTTTGGGGTTCAAACCTGGCCTCAGCCAAACTGCAACAACAACAAAAAAAGCTGGGCGTTGTGGCAGGTGCCTATAGTCCCAGCTACTGGGGAGGCTGAGGCAAGAGAATCACCTAAGCCCAGGAATTGAAGGTTGCTGTGAGCTGTGACGCCACAGCACTCTACTGAGGACGATAAAATGAGACTCTGTCTCTAAAAAAAAAAAAAAATCAGCTATTGCTCTTTCATGTGCATTTCACCAGTTACTCTGCTGATGTCCTTTGCCTGTTCCAGGCTCCATCTGGGACACCACATCGTATGGAGTTTCCATGTGTCCTTGGTCTCCTCCAATCCGGGGAAATTTCTCAATCATTTGTCTTCAACGACCTTGACACCTTTGAAAAGTTCTGGCTTTTGTCCCTCAGTTTAGGTTTGTCTAACATTTTCTCATGATTAGACTGAACTTGTGGATTTTTAGGAAGAATACCCCAGAGATGAGGTCACTTTCTCATTGCTCTTATCTTGGGGTACATGGTATCAACGAGGCTTATCACTGATCATTTGTTGTTGTTTTATTATTTAAACCTAGGCCACTGTAATAGCCTCTGAAATTTCTGTCCTGGGAACCCACCAAACTTTGCTTCACCATCATTCTTGTGCCATTTGTTTGCATTTGGACCTAAAATGCCCATGGAATGCTCATTGCACCAATTTCAAGCCTCCTAATGTGGCCTTTTGACACTCACTTCATCCCATCAGCTGTCTTTTCCTCTGCCCCTCACACATTTCCAGTGTCTCTGTCCTTTCCAGACCACTGAAGCCCAGTCTTGCCTGAGGCACTTGTTCAAGTGAGCACAGAGTTTCCTGGACGCCTCCAGATAGGTCTGAGCTTTTCTTCTGCAAGTTCCCAGTCTGTATCCACAGTTTCACTATACAGGAGTGAGCTTTTCTTCTGCCAGTTCCAAAGTCTGTGTCCACAGCTCATTCTACAGGAGTGAGTTTTTCTTCCATGAGTTCCCAATCTGTGTCCACAGTCTCACTTTAACCGTGGTTTTACTTTTATCCTCAGAGAGTTTAATGTGTGTTTTTTTGTCTTCCTTTCAAGTGATTGAAACGAAATAGCTGCAGTTTGAGTAGCATTAGCCTAAAATGTATATTACAGGCTTCGATCAGTTCTGGTGCCCTAGTGCTGCAAACAAGATTGCATGCATTAAACAGCTGCAAACTTGTCAGTCGTAGAACATTTCTCAAGTCACTGAGGAAAGAACAATACACTTAATGAACTTCTCCAAGACAAGTAGTTCTACATACAAATCAATGCTTGATTTTTTTTCACCACTTGATTAGACTTTTAAAAAAGTAATGAAGAAAATGACAATAATGCAGAATAAACTATTTTTTTGAGACAGAGTCTCACTCTGTCACTCTGGGTAGAGTGCCCTGGTGTCAGCCCACAGAAACCTCAAACTCCTGGGCTAAAAAAGATCCTCCTGCCTCAGCCTCCCAAGCAGCTGGAACTGTAGGTGTATACTATCACACCTGGGTAATTTTTCTATTTTTAGTAGAGATAGAGTCTTGCTCTTGCTCAGGTTAGTCTTGAACTCCTGACCTCAAGTGATCCTGCTTTCTTGATCTCTTAGAGTGGTGAGATTACAGGCGTGAGCCATCATGCCAGCCCAGAATAAACTTTATAGTATGTAGTAACAATAGCTACTGCATTGGGAAAAGAACAAAAATGGAGAAAATATTCTTCTAGTATATATTAAAAAACTATTATCTGATTCAAAAAAGACCTCACATCATGGAGGAACAACATGTGAGTACTCAATCTAAAAGAAGCTTTAATAAATATAGTTTGTCCTGTGCCCATTAAATATGTATGGAGTGACAAATAACTTAATAATAGATCACATATCCTATTTAATAACAATACATTTATTGATTTATTGGAAACCAAATGGACATATAACTCCATTTGTCAAATCAGTTCAGGTGGAACCATAGGTTGGCTGTGAATTCAAATGCTCTACAAAAATCAATGTAAGCATAGTTATATGGCATTCATGATAAAGAGTGAATATATATTAATTATTATTCAAATCAATAATAATTCACTTTATGTGTTAAGAATTTTTCTGTCAGTAAACTTAATAGTAAATACGTGTGTGTATAAATGTATGTGTTTTCTTTGAGATTCAGTTGTTGGATACTTACTAGCACATCACCCGAGCTGCTTCATGGATAATTTTAGTTTCTTTTGTGATGAAAACCTATTGTATATCTTATCACAAAGTCTTCAATAAAATATCCATTTCTCTTTAAATGTGCCGAGACATTAGATTTACTCAGACTTAATTAATGAGCTGAGATCTGCTTTGAAGTGAATGCAAGCCCAAAACAGGACCAGCTTGTCACAGGTGTTCTGGTGTGCTGGGCTCACACCACTAGGGAGCGGATATCAATAAATCTCACCTTATTGATGATGAAACAAAGCAATATTTAACCTGCTAAATAAGTTGTCCAAGGTCATTCATGTCCAAATAGGTAGCAGGCAGGTTCTGGACACATTGAATTCTAATACTCAGGTCACATTGTCACATCCTTACAGAAGCATTGAGGGGTAGATGTTATCCCTGCTGCCATTTTATGGTGAGAACACAAAATCTACTCTCACAGTGATTCTCAAGTGTATGATACATCGTTACTAACCACAATCCTCCTGTCTAACTGGAATTTTGTACTTTTTGTCCAACATGCCCCAGTCACCTTCCTCCCAGCCTCTGGTAGCCACTCTGCCTCTCTGAGTCCATGCTTGCTTTTCTGTGGCTAGCTTACTTCTAGCTCTATCAGTGTTACCAAGTGACAGGCTTTCCTTATTCTTAAAGCTAGTTGGTGTCCATTGTGTATGCACAACATTTTCTTCATCCATTCATCTATTGATGGACGTGTAAGTTGACTTTATATCTTGGCTATTGTGAAGATTCAACACGTTAAATTGATTGCTCGAGTTTTCTTAAGTGGATAGGATTTTTTTTTCCTTTTATATTTATAACCCTATGTCACATAAAGGTCCTCTGTCCACTCCGAATGTTTGTGTCCTGCTGTCTGCCCTGCTGGCCATCTCTGACACAAGGAGTTGTTCCCTGTCTGGGGATTTCTGATGTGGCTACAAAAGCCCAGGGTTCTTTCTTACAACTTTGCTGTGTTCTCTTTGTGGCCATAGGAAGACCATCAGTGTATGTTAGCCCCTTTCACAAACCACAAACGAGAGAATAGATTGGGCTTGAACCAACCCAGGCCCTGCAGAATGCACATGTTCAGTGTTGGGTAAAATCTGCAGGGCATGAGGACTCTGTCACCTTAGCTGGGACATACCTCCTTC